ACAAGTTCTGAAATATTTGTAGATTGAATTCTTCAATGTAGAATATTAACTCCGCTATTGCACGTTTTACAATCTTTGGCGCTTATTTGCGATATATTACCCAAATACCTGGATTGAAGTTTCTTGGTTCGGAAGAAGTGATTGAGATGTAACTTCTTCTCACAGTTTCAATATATTTTCCAGAAGAAAAGTGATGAGGTACACCAAATTGACAGCACCAAATCGAGAAGAAAATGTACAGGACTTAAAGGGGAGGTTTACTGATCAAATGCTGGGATTTGTAGGATTATGAATTATGCAAACTCTCTGAAGTTAGTCCATTAGGCAGATACAGACAGCGAAAACATACTGTTACGAAATGAAATTTCAATCATGTAAAGAAAAGAAAAGTATCTAGTTATAACAAATAAACCATCGGATATTCTTTTCTGTTTTTTATTGTTATTGTGTGGCAAACTAACTCAGTTTACTCCTCAGTAAGCCTTCATAATTTATTTATCCCCCTATGAATGTTCGAAAGGTAATGCCTTTTTTATTGATACATTGAAATTTTTATTTAAATATGATTATTTTTATGACAAATGAACACATAATTGCAAAGACAACAACCCGCTAATTCTTTTGGGAGAACAAAAGGTAGAGTTGTTTGGAAGAAACCTTGAAATACACTTTAGCATATTGTGCTCATTTGCACTTTAGCTCTTTTGTATTGTATTATTAAAATGATTATTGCTTCGGAAAGCCCGAGTAAGAACGTGAATCGATCTTTCGTAACCCGAATGACAGCGGAAATACATGTAGCAGATACACGACACCTTTAAGTTATTAACTCTTCGTCATCAAACACGATACGGGTCGCTCATTAAGGTGACACTCTAAGCTTGGGTTTCTAGTGTGCGAAATTTTTGATTGTACAGCATTTCATTACAGGTCCACAAATACTTATAATTGCAAAATGCTTTTACGATTATAATTCTTTATCCTATGCAAGAAAGGTTGCGGAATCGATGTATCGTAGGCCGAATGACGACGGAAATAGCAGATACAGTCAACTCTCTCATAAACGGACAACCTCGGGAATTGGAAAAGGAATTCTTTAGTAGACTTCTCCGCCAGCAAGTATTATTTCCATAAGCAGACACCAAAGATAAATAGGTTAATAGGATGGAATGGAAATGGGGAATGGAGCATGGGGCATGGGGCATGGGGCATGGGGCATGGGGAATGAGAAATGTAGAGCGGGGAATGGGAAATGGGGAACGGGAAAATGAAATGGGAAACTAAAAATGGGGTATTTATTTTTTATTTTTGAGATTTATTGTTTGTTATACATTTTTTCGTATTTTTCAGCGGTGATTATCGATATCCACGCTTTTTTCAAAAACTTTCAATAGAGAAATTGAAGGAACGGATTGAGTTGCGGATAATAGCGAGATGTTATCCCGACTTGTTTCGCTATTACTATCTGAAGCTAGTAACGAAAATAATTTCTTTGATAATGTCAATTAATTATCCAAAGGAGGGAATAATTTTAATCAAAACCAACAATTGAGACTTCGGTCCGGTGTTCGTTAATATTAATATTATGGGGAGCTTTAAAAAGCTCAGCAGAGCCTGCTAGATCTCTTGCCGTATCTTGTTTATCATGTAGTATGTATTATGTGGTGTAATGAACTATTGAAGGCGAATAAAGAAAGAGATCTTAATCAAAATCAACAATACTCGGTATTTTTTGTACGGACCTCGCTGCGCTCCGTCCGTACTGTCAAGACCTCGGGCCGATACTCTCCCAGTACGGCCCTCGCGCTTGGTTAATAAGATATATATATATCGTCCCCATTCTATTTTTTCATAATTTATATCCTCATGTCATCTCTGCACTTCCTGTTATAAAAACAAAACATTTTGACGTAGAGTATGCAGGACTATAGCACCTTCGGGAAAAATGTAAAATTACTGCCGATCATTAAGGACTCTCTTAGCTTTCCCAGAACTACAACAATCTCCAACAATCTAACTCGTACGAAAGAACCTAACATCAAAGAGGGCTAAAGAAAAATTCTAAATGTTTGGAATAAAACCGATTTTATGGCTGCTGGCGTAAATTTGAAATTGTCGAGCATACTATTTTAACAGCTGCTAGACTCAACATTTTTTGACTATCGTCATCGTTGGCTTAAATCAGTTTCCGCTGTACATATCTGTATCCTTTTAACCTTTCCTAATGTGTATAATTTCTATTCAAGAAAACTGGGTCATTAATATTAATCCAGTCTCGAATTTAGTTGCGAGCTCGATCCACCTTTTTTATTTCCAGCAGAACCGAATATTAACTTCCTTGTCGGATGATAGAGATGATCAGGTAACAGGAAAGTCTAGGTAAATAACTCTCCGGTTTAAAATTATTTACTTCGTTTTTATCATTCCACGTTTATGTCTTTTTACCTAAAACGGTAACGAGAACGCGTAAAATATGCCTCGGTATTACACTGTAGGACAAGGAAAAAAATCAGGCGGAGCAAAAGAATAGCCGCACTAAACGATCCAAACTTTTTATTCTCCTATTTTAGACTTGACTTGATCAGCTCGACAGATTTATTGTGGGTCATAAAGAACACATTTATGGCTTCGCGTACTCCTCATGCGATCGAAACGATGTACAGATATGGCCGTAGGATGGGTTTCGAGAATTAAAATCAAAGTACTAAAAAGTGAAGCGATAGTGGAATAATAAATTCCCTATTCGATGGTTTAATATATGATACGCGCGGGTATTTTGCGATTTGCATTGTATTTCTGCGAGCCCTGAGGGGGCGAGAAAAATTGCTGGCAATTACCAAAATTTCCGCTCGTATTATATGTTAAACCATCGAGTAAAATTTATGTGTATATGAATATATATTTATCTCTACAACATTATTTTTATGTGTATAGCTTTATCCCCATAAAACTGGGCTTTAGTGACGGTCCAGTCCAAAACGTGTCTAGTCGAGCCCAGTCCGAAGTCCAGTTTGAAGTCCCATCCACTCCTTCACTTCCCGCAAAACCAGATATCCTGACATCGGATGACAGAGATGTCGTGTAACGCGACATTGAGTTGTAGATCACACTCCGGAATCGAAAGCAAAACGAATGCTCTCTGAGGGCAAGAGGTTCGAAAACAATTAAGTCATCCGGGGGCCAGGGTTCTCTTCTAAACGTACACTCACCGGATGAACCTGTCCTGATCATGTGCGAACCCTGAATAAGGAGTCATAGGACGTGCTTGAGTGGTTGAAGGAAATGAAGGTATCACGAGCGAAGTTCTTTATGGTAGTCTTTCTATCTTCCATTGATGTCATTATCTCAGGATCTGTCCTGATCAGTAGGCTTATTTCGCAACCCAAAGACCCACAAACTTGGAAAAAGGTGAATGACTCGTTTGTCGTTCCGTCGTCGGCATGTTACCAAGGGAGAATTGGAACTGGTAGTAATTACTGCAACGAGTCTTGCACAAAAGATGACTCAAAAGAACAGTATTCGTGTGACTGTCCTTGGAAATCTGCCACTGTAACTTATGTAAATAATACATGGATATGTCTAGAGAATAAGATGGTGCGAAAGAAACTCGGTGAGTATGTTAAAAATAGAAGTATATGAATCGATGTTTCGCAACCCGAATGACAGCGGAAATGCTTGAAGCTGATAGACGACTCCTTTCAGTTATTTATTCTTCGCAATTAAACATTTTACGAGACGTTCATCATGGTGGTACTCTATACTCGAGTTTCTGGTGTACGAAACATTTTATTTTCGAGGCTTTTTTCGTTTTTTGTCTTTTGTTTTTGTATTTGAGACCCTCAAATATTTAGAATTTCGATGTTCGCGATAGACGACTCCTTTCAGTTATTTATTCTTCGCGATTAAACATTTTACGAGACGTTCATCATGGTGGTACTCTATACTCGAGTTTCTGGTGTACGAAACATTTTATTTTCGAGGCTTTTTTTGTTTTTGTCTTTTGTTTTTGTATTTAAGACCCTCAAATATTTAGAATTTCGATGTTCGCGATAATACTTGAAGCGTGGACACGGAAGTTGGCTCATTTAATACAATTAGTAGCTCAGTATCTGGCAAGCACTACGTAAATGAATAACCCACAATATTGACAAAGCCGTCATTCAACGGAACCGGTTTCCATATTTGTGACGATCGGGTCGCAATATTGAGCTTGTGAAGGTTTACTCTCCATTCTAAGTGAAAACAAACAAAACGAATCTGCCACGAATAATTAATGACTCATAACTGCTCCGAAAGAAGGTCACGCAACTCTCCGTTCGCCGGTGTTACATTTTGTTTCCTTTTAACGAACACTTTTGTTTATCAATTTTAAAGAAAAGCGACTGTAAATACGTCGTGCAACATTTGGAGCTGAAAAATATTTCCATATTCAACAGATGTATGAAACTGCAAAGGATGTGACCTTTATCCTTTCGAATTACATCTTTAAAGAGCAACTTGAATTGGATTTATCGCAAAGTCATACATTTTAATGTATGTCATACTATATTTAGTCGTTGTACAGAATACGAAACCTCTCTTGAAAACTCATCAAAGACACAGAATAGTGATTTGCTAGGGTATTTAAAGAGAAAAAAAAAACACACGAAAAAGAAAGACGGAGGAGATTTAAACGGAAGAAGAATGACGAACTTTACCAAATCGGGTTAAACTTGCGATGCACAAGCCGTTATATGTAGCTCTTTTAACCTTTCATTTTTCCTCTCAACAGCTATATTTAGATTCTCCATACCGTATACCAAGCATTTCTCATAATGAAGTTTTAAGAATGCGGTATTGAATCAAACTTTATACGTATATCCCCCTTTAATTTTTCTCTCTTCTAATTCCTAAAGAAAATTGTTATCAGTGAGTTATCCTTTCGTGGTCACTCATGGGAATAAAATGGTTAGACAATCAGGCGTGGCTTAAATTAAATTAAAGTAATCTCCGGCTTTTTTTACCACAACCATCAAAAGCAAAGTCGAGTGCATCCCCACCCCTCGTCCCGTTAATATATGGATTTGTAGTTGAGCATTGTGAGTGGGAATCCAGTTATTTTTGTTACAATGTGTATTACGTTACGCGTGACGCTTACGTCATGACCTCGCTTTGGTGGAATAAAGTTATCTTTGTAAATCGGCCATCTTAAAAACCGCGTGAGGAGTCACTAAAGCTCTCTTCTCATCAACAATATCCCTCCAATATTGTTACAATTTTAGCTGGGTTAAAGTAACTGTGTAGTGATCCCATCGCATTCAAACACCTTCCCAATGAGTTGCATGAACGTGGAGTTAACGTCACTTTCTTCTGATTTGCTATTACGAACAGGATGTGCAAACAACACCCTATTTCATTATGAAAGAGAGTGGCATGATTTATACACACTGAGCACTCAGCCGAGGTGGGGAAGAAAAACAGCATTGTATGACGAGGAGGCCTCCTGTGTTTTAAACACTAGTTCTTCGTGGGTTATTGGATGTCATGGGGAAAAGACTCCTGTTGACAATCTTACTAATAGAACAAAGGAAATATTTGTCTTTGGATGGAGTAACAAGAGTAAGGCATACTATATAAAGGTGATTAAAAAATGTACAGTCAACTTTCCTTAACCATAACCATTTGAGTTAT